AGAACTATTATTCGACAAGAAAATTAAGTTTTTGCATACGGATTGTGGAGGTGAATATCAAGCTTCTAATTTTTTATCCTATCTCAGTACGAATGGGATCGTTTTGGAGCAGGGACCAGCTGAGACCCCCGAGCACAACTCTGTTGCTGAACGATATAACAGAAGCTTGATCGAGCGTGTGAGATGTAATTTACATCACGCCTCTCTTCCGGTTAAACTATGGGCCCAAATTGCTTTGGCTACGGCATTTACCCTCAATCAATCGCCACACTCCTACCTAAATCACCAATCTCCTTTGACTGTTTGGAACTCATCTATACCCGATAGCGGTCTACATGGACCTGATCCTTCTTTTTTGAGAGCGCTTGGTTGTTCAGCTATATATCTATCGCCACGGATCTCAGGAAAGTTAGGGCTCAAAGGTCGAGAAGGCGTGCTTCTGGGTTATGAAGGAGGGGCTAAGGCTTATAGGGTATGGGATTTGGAGTATAAGAAGATAGTAGTCACTCTCTCTGTTATCTTTAACGAGACTATCTTTCCTTTTTCATCCCAGTCATTGGCTCCTGAATCTCAACCTTTCGTCATCATTCAAGATCCTGGCTATGATCTTCCCGATGTTATTTCGGATTCTCCTTCTATACCATTGGTTTCTCCTCCGATTACACACAATTCTACAATTTATCGTTCTACTACCGGCTCGGGCCTTAGGCCTCTTCTATTATCTTCTGCTTCTCCTCGTTCACCCTCTTCACCAAGTCTTAGAGGACATAGTATTGTCACCTCATACATCGCCGTCAATCCATCCTTATCAACAAGTGTCATTGGACAAAAATCCTCCCGTGTCGCCTCCGCTTCCTCCTTGGGTTCATCCAAAAGCAGAGTGGATCGCCCTGTCAGAACAACAAGTAAGCCTGAGCGTCTCGGTAACTTTATTGGCCATGTGGGAACCGAGATGAATGATGAACCTACCTATAAACAGGCGATGGAGGCTCCGGATGCTGAAGAATGGAAAAAGGCAATGAAAGCCGAGTTCGATTCTTTGGTTCAACACAATGTTGGCAAACTTGTTCCTAAACCTTTGGATGCTCGAGTGATCGGTGGCATGTGGGTACTGAAGAAGAAACGTGATGAAAATGGTGTCATTCTTAAATACAAAGCCAGATGGGTATGTTTCGGCAATCGACAGATCGCCGGAGTCGATTTTCATGACACCTACTCTGTGGTAGGCAAAGCCGATACCTTTTGTTTGCTTGTAGCTATCGCCGCTTACCTCAAATGTTCTGTCATTCAATTCGATATCATCACGGCATTTTTACATGGGATAATCAAGGAGCGAGTGTACATCCAGCAAGTCAAGGGTTTTGTTGAACCAGGTAGGGAGGGTATGGTGTGGGAGTTAGGCAAGTCTTTATATGGTACTCGTCAGGGTGCTAGAGATTTTAGCAATCATCTACGCTCTGTCCACTACTATATCCGCCAGGGACTATTTAAGTAGGGGGGACTACGGTTTTAGACCAAGTTCTGAGCTTGGTGACTAACCGTAGATATTTACTAACAGGTAGTTACAGGAATGGAGAGTCTCACAAAGGCTCCAATGTAACCACAACTGTAAAAAGTATAAGATCATACTTTTATGGGAAGTACTTTCTCATATCTCTTACTGAGGTGGTGTGGGGGGTATGCCCCGGCAGAGCGGACCCTAGCGGTAGACGTCTACCGCAAGGAATGATCCGCTCGACCGGGTTGAGAACAAAGGAGGCCCTATGGGGTCTTCTCTTCCCCGTAACTCACGGAGGTCCGAGCCGTGAGCCTAGAGAAGAGCCCAATTCTTGGTCCTCCGTGTGGTACCCCTGAACCAACACCATCAAGAAGGTATACACTGTATGTAATTTTAAAGTTTGCGTGTACAATACAATAGGACAAGGTTTTGCCTAGAACTTAATGGAAGGTCATCTAGGAAACTCGGCGTCGATCTCAGACCCCTCTCGTTTGTCTAAACCCCAAGGAGGGAACAACTTCGTTAAGAATTGATGTTACTATCGACAGAACAATGATGTTGATGCACTCACACCAGACCACGGACTCATTGACAAGTGTTAACTCCTCCACCGCTCTCTGGTTTCACCCACTGTAACTCTTCTGACAACCTAATCGTTGCTTTCAGGTCTTTCGCCGGGAACTTCCTCAAGTAAATCATGTACGAGTTGGATGACCAACACCCGCACCTCTTGACTTCATCTATACAAGCTCCTAGGTTCCAACGGAGCGAGGCGCCGCCTATTTGGAACAAATGCCCATGTAACAGCTGTTTTCTTTTTGAGCGTTTCTTGTTCCAGACCTTCCTAAACTCGTTGATGGCTTCCGCTTTCCCTAGGCGTACTTTCTTACTTCCGCGTACTAAGGAGAATATCTCATCCCTGGGTTTCCGCGGCCGAAATGCAAACCACGATTCCAACATCAAGACTGGATCCAAAAGTGAGTCCTGCCTGTGTAGAACGATCCACTGCACCTCCCCTGGCTCGGCTGTCTTTGCGTTGTGTATCGCAATCTTAACGAATGATTTATCCTTCGCCCAAACTAGGTCGTTCCATTGCGGCATCCTTTTCCTCGGATCGTCCGTCAGTAGTTCCCCTAATCTAGCGGTGCCCCAAAATGCAGCAAGGGCCGCCGTCAACAGGGCCAGGCCTCGTTCTCCTTGGTCCGGTAACTCCTCCAGGAGAACCACCAGATCCGATAACAAGACTGGGGGCCTCGTACAATCGACATCTGCGAATCTTGCTTCTAGCAGCTTTGACGCTTTCAGGAGTGGCTTAATGGACTGATCGACTTTCGATGGGTAATCGACACCATGGTAGACGTGCCATGCCTTCACTCCAGCTACATAGGCCTTTAAGGTAGATGACCTAACCGACTCGTCGTTCGCCGCCACTCTTTCCTCCTTGATGGACGCCCAGACCACGAACTGCCTCATGATAGACGGGGAGATCGGTAGCAAGAGAGAGCGATATAGACCTTTTGCAGTAGCAAAACGATGAAGCTTTATGATACCCGAGTTATAACCTTTAAGCGTACCGTCACTCCAGGCCCCGTTCAGGAAGTGTTGCTTCACCGCGTCGATCCCTGAGTCGTCGACCCCCAATGCATCCTTCCTGAAAGCGCCAAACAGTTTTAGGATCTTCTGCAACTTCGTTGGGTTGGAGATATCAGCTGGCGTGGTCTTCGACGACTTTCTCATGGTGACCCTCTCCACGTAAGTCGCTCAGATGGAATGTACGCCTTGAAGTGTTGGTTCTAACGAGACTTGATACAACAACAGAGACAGGTCTCTCGGAATTTCCACTCGGACTTTGTGGGACCAGGCCAGATCTCCTCGAATTCCGCGAGACAGAGCATCCGCGGGATTAGTTTCCGATGTAACTCGTTTCGCCTTCACGTTACACTCCAGTTTAGTAAGTAGTCGCTGGATTTCTTTCCACTCCTCATGCACTTGCACATCTTTTGACTTTTTCTTGGTCACCGTGGACTGTGATGTGGTGTTATCAGTCCACACCACAAACTTTTTGCCTATGACAGCAAATTTCAAAAAACATCCGAGTCAGAGCGGCCTTATTGCAGTCACATCTCTTTGACTCACCTCTTACGTCACGAAGTTTCTTTACCACCAACAAGCTCAGACGGATAGCGGCTGTTTCGGCCCAAGCGATGGATCTTTTGCCATCCGACAGATTCGCCGTTTGCCAGCCGTCGAAGAACTTAAAACATGCCCAATGATCCTTGACCAGCACACCTATCCCGAAAGATGAAGAGGCGTCGCCTGCCCATTCGATCTCCAATGCCTTCGGTTCTGGGATGATGGGTCTAGAATTGAAATTACTCAAGCATTGATCCCACTCTTCTAGGTCTGCCCTTGCTCCGTCCGTTAAGTGTCTCAAGGCCGCCTTATTCTTCCAACCCTTCATCATCCGATATAATGACGGGTGCAACGATAATTGTCGGTAAGCTTTTTGCCAATCGAATATGGCCGCTTCCCATTCTCCGGGGAAGCGTTGGAAGAATCTTGCCACCCTGTTGAAGTCATCCCACTGGGTTCCATAATTCAGTTTGTTGACAAAGGAGTTGACGGAAGGTACTTCTGGATTGTTTTTAGGGAAGGATAGGTCATTTATCAGTCGAATGGACCCATCACCGTTAACCGCGCTTCCCATAGGATTGGAGCGGAAAAATCCTAGCTTCTCTCTCAGTTGTTCGTGAGTAAACGGTCCTGCGATTCTCCCAGCTCTGTGCTCTTTTGCTAAAGTCCTCTCAATCTGTAGTTGTACCGCCAGTGCCGACTTATGGTTCGGGGGGGTGTACCAAGGTAGGTTCCCTATCGAGTGTTGTGGTATCCCGCGACAGAAGCCACATTGAAATCCGTTAAGAATATAGGGGATACTTCTGTCTAGGCCAGCTTCTAACATACACCTCCTCCATTCTTCGACGTTCATCTTGCTCGGGACCGGAGCTGGCCATACATCGTCGACTTCCACTGTGAAGAGTTTCCTCTCCCACAATGGCAATGGCTCATCCGGTACGCTTTCTTCGCTCGAGCTACTCGCGTATGGTTCTTCACCATCTGATGATTGGTCTGGCTCGTCCTCGTTTGGTTCTAATACTATGTCCATCTTGGCGTTTAGCACCCCGCTCTCAGGCCTCTCAGACCTCAACTCTCCTAGGTTACTACACGCTGCAGAAATTCTACGCAGGGATCTACAATAAACAGAGCACGCATTCACAATTCAGGAATTCACATTTCAAGGAGGTATTTGCCGGACTATCTGACAACAATTGAGAAGGCCGTCAGGCTCTAATGCGTACCACAAGATGAATGAAAACAAATGAACAAGGAGGAAAATCAGAACAGACAACCAACACCATTGGACACGAAACCAATGTAGCGGTAAAGGGCAAAACATTTGGTCAGTTGACCCGGACTCTCTTTGCTCTTCAACTGAACGCCCGACTCACTTTTCAGTCGACTCCGCAACCTGTGACTTTTGTGTCCCAGCACTGCCGTTTTGTTTGCCGCCTTTGTAAAAATTGTTCTTCTTCACAAAAGTGCCGGACGCCCCCGATCCTTCTACTACATTTGACTCTGTCGAAAGACGTGCGACCACACTCAGGTCAGGACTCTTTCCGGGCGTTAGAACATGGAGCTAAAGGAAGACCAGAACGCTAACCTTTGACATAGTTGCCGTGTTGTTTAAAGTTTCTGTTCTGGGGGAAAGAACCTTTCCTCCCGTAGTGCTTCTTACCGGCTCCTCCCCGATTGCCCTGATGGACCTGATGGCTGTCCTCTGCTTTCCCTTTGGTCGGAGCCGATGGGGTTGCTATCGGTTCTCTACCAGTTGTGAAGTTAAACCCAAACTTGGGTTTCCCGGGAGCATACGGGTTATCTTCAAAACCAAGGTCATTTGCTCGGTCGGCCTCCCGCCTAGCTGTGTCTTCGACCGTGGACTGAAGACCATTCGGTAAGCGGACTTTGTCTTTCAACACCGTTTTCCCATTGACTTTCGTCTTGATGAGCTTACGCCTCCTGAAGATAACTGTCCTGATTGCCAAGTGATAACAAAGCGCAACCATCCAACAATTATACTTCTTCTTTAAGCTGGAGATGATTTGTTTGTGTTTTTCCACATAAACCGCATAAGCTTCATGACCATACACTTCTCTAGCGTATCTCTCCTCCAAGTCACACATCTCTATGAATTCACCATAAGTTATCTGACATTCTCTAGCTTTTTCTGAGGAATTACCGGCAGCTAATTTCGATTTCTTCTTTTCATCATCATCTTGGTCATGCCACTCTTGGATTGACGACTTGACAAAAACCGTCAGTGGAACGTAGGCCCTTAACTTCTTAAAACCTTTGTCCCATTTTGTGGGAAAATCTGGTAAGTCAGCGGACTTAAAGTCGACGTCTGAATAGCAAAGTTCTGCTTCGCTCACTGCCGAGGAGTCATCTGAAGTGGGTAGCTCCGAAGGAGTTGAGTCGCCGGAGGAGGAGGGGTCGTCTGAAGATTTCTTGGACTTCTTCTTCTTCGACTTTGACCGTTTCTTTGGTCGTCTCTTGGGTGTTTCTTCCTCAGAGTTTGACGGAGGGGAGGAAGGGTCCTCCTCGCTAACTGATGGTTTCCTCTTTGGTTTCGAGGATTTCGTAGCTGGCCGATCCAGAGGTGCCGAAGGCTCGGGGCCGTCTTCCTCTAGGTGAGGTTTGTCTCCTCTCCCTGCTGGAGGGGCGTCGAGGTGGGTAGCTCTTTTCAGAACCGCATCGACTTTGACCAGAGCCGCTCGTGCTTCTTCGGCAGTACCGAATTCAACTGCCCAGTTAAGCTCGTCCATCATGGATAGATTCTGAGGGGGACCACTCTGCTTGTCCGCCGCCGTGGGAACTGAAAAGAATTGCCACGCGAAGAAGCAAAAACCATAGTCAGTAAGATTACTCTTATCTAACACCGGTCAAGGATATTTAGGTATCTGGCGCTGATAGCTGCCTCCCTCCCTAGGGACACCCGTAGGGCTCATAAAAGACGATCAAACCACGATCTCTCCCCAAGGGGTATAAAGATGCAGCGTCTAAACGGAGCGCCAAGGGCAGCATCCTATGTAACGAACGGATGGGAGCGCTAATAGCCGCTACCCGAATAAATTCCGATTCCGTTCTAGGCGCCTACGGCAGCCCTACAGTCCAGCGGGGAGTATCGCAATTCGCGTAGTTGAGCTCACCTTTAATTCTTCTACTGCTCCTTTCAAGGCTTGGGACTTGCTCTTCTACTTGACGGGTTGAAATCTTCTTCTTCAAGGCTAATTTAAACTTCTTCTCATTTTCTGCCTCTGAAGACTCGTCATCACCGTCCATCTCCAACCCAACATTCGGGCCTGCTTCCGTGCCGGTAGGATCGATTGGTTCGCCATCAGCGTCTTCAGTGCCCGCGGGTTCCTCCAAAATCCCGACAATCGTAGACGCAGGCATCCCACTTGGCTGTGTCGATGGAGCTGGAGCTCTAGATCCTGCTCGCTTTGCCCTATTCTCCGCCTGAATTTGTTCTTTTTCTGCTTGCAGTCTTTTCTTCTCTTCTGCCTCCAAGTGAATTTGATGTAACTTGTTCTTCGCTACCACCAGTTTATCTTTTTGGGATGAATCCATATCAGAAAAATTTTCCAGAATGTAGACAAGTTTTATGTTCAGAGAGATGAGTATGGGAAGAATGAATTTTAATGAATAAAGAGGAGTTTGTGTTTTTTTGAAAATGTTTTTGAAAAATTTCTATGACTAGAGTGATAGAAATATGTTGGAAAAAGGCTATGCAGGACTGAGCTGGGCAGGCGTGGGAGAAGAGGAAGAATTGTAGCTAGGAGTGAAAAACTTTTTCTCTCTACATTTCTCTTAGACCTCTCCTGCCGCGAAGCCGTCCCGGGACTCGGGGCTGCCCCGCACTCCATAGCCCGTCCCTGTTACGTTACGTAATGGACTCTAGGCCTACCGTCGCGGGCTTTGGGTAAACTAGCAATCTTATTGGCTTTCGGTTTCGAAACTTCAAAATCCGACGACTGCTTATTCATCTTCTGACGATGTTCCAACTTCATCTATCTACACATGCATGTTGATGATGGTTTCCTACGGAATGCGAGACGTTCCAAAGTGACAATGCGAAATTTCAAAAAACGAAAATCACAATCCCCGGGTGCGAAATTCAAAAATCAAAGACAAAACTACAGAAAATACTCAAATACAGGGATAAAACCCCTGTACCGGAGTAAAAGTCATGGCAGAAACCCCTTTTTGCCCATTTTCCAGTGGTCGACACCGTTTTCATTGCATTGTCACCTTTTGACAAAAAGTACCAGCAACACCAAAAACCAAAAAATCAAAAAACCAAAAATCAAAAAATACATTTCTCAAACTTTACAATTCAAACACCAAAGTTAGATTCTACTGCAGTCAAAAACCACATGTTGGCCAACTAGCTACAAGCTCGGTCTCACAGGTATCAACACCTCCGACCAGAGACATTCTACCATCAGTCTCAAGAGCTTCAAAGTACCTGCTTACTGTCTCGCTCTCCTCCAAAACCTCTTTCATCATCATCAATCCTCTTTGATTGTCCTTGATCTTCTTATTTCTTTGTCATCCATCCTTGATCTTCCTCAATCTTCGTCACCCGTCCTCGATCTTCTTCTTTCTCCGTCAACCGTCCTCAGTCTTCTTATTTCTTTGTCAACCGTCCTCGATCTTCCTCAATCTTTGTCAACCATCCTCGATCTTCCTCAATCTTCGTCAACCATCCTCGATCTTCCTCAATCTTCGACAACCGTCCTCAATCTTCTTCAATCTTCGTCAACCGTCCTCAACCTTCTTCTTTCTTCGTCGACTTTATCCTAGAATATTCTTCGACCATCCTCAATCTTCTGCAATCCTCATCCAAACACCTTCAATCTCCATCACCAACTACACACCAACATGCCAGCGAAAATATCTGATGAAATCTTGCGACCGCTTTTGGAAGAAGCTGTGGCTAACAACTGGCCAGCACAAACAGTATGTGACACTGTTTGGCAACGGCACAACATCCGAGTATGTGTAAGAACTGTTAGAAGACGGATCAAAGAATGGGACTTGAAACAACAAGGAAATTATGATGTGGAGGTTGTAAAGGATGCAGTATTAGATAATTACAAACAATCTCTGAACCCAAAGCGAGCTCTCATTGCCCTCAAAAACGAACACAACATCATCATCAGCCGGTCAACTTTAGCTCGAGTTGAGAAGCAACTCAATCTTCACCGCCAAAAGGATGATCTTGACATGGGTGTAGTAACATATGCCACCGTATGTAGCAAGATTGAAGAACTTCAGATTGAATATGGAAATGTACTTGGAATCAAGAGTATCAAGAAGATGCTAGCTCAGGAACACGAGCTTCACATCCACCGGCAAGTGTTTGGGCCTTCTTGATTCCATTTGCTCTGATGCTAATTACATTTGAAATCCTCTTTGATATAGTGATGTTATTGCGGCTATGATGAAGGCAATGGACCCAGATGCTGTCAGAATGAGAGCTGCTCATAAACTCAAGTGACGGGAATACTATGCGGGCGGTCCCAATGAGGTTTGGGCGGCCGATGGACACAACAAGTTGATCAACTTTGGAATTGGTATATATGGATTCATTGATTGCTGGTCTCGAAAGATTTTGGGACTTCATGCTCATGTCACCAACAGCGACCCCCGCCATGTTGACTTGTGGTATCTGGGCCTTGTCAAGAAACAAGGTGGCATTCCCAAAAAGCTCACCACGGATCAAGGAACTGAGACTGTTCCTCTTGCTGGACATCAACTTTATTTTGGAGAAACTTACGGTTCCAGAGCTCCAGACTGGCCTTATCATCAATATGTCCCGTCCCCTCGTAACCAAAAGATTGAGTGCTTCTGGGACAAAATGACTTGTGGACTGACTGGAAATATCAAAGCTAAAATTCAAGAGCGCATTGATCAAGATTTATATAATGACAATGATCCAATGTCTAGGTGAAGCTCCTTTTTTTTAATTGGTGATTCCATGCTGAAATCTTTGTTATTGCTTTTCAGGACCTTGTTTCTCCACCTATTTATCCCCGTCTTTCAACGAGCTCTGGACAAATGGGTCAGGTTTTACAATGGTTTCTGCAGACGACACGACAAGCGGTCGAAATTACCTACTGGATGTTCTGCAGACTACTGCTACAAAAACCCCGTTGACGAATTTGGTTGCATTGATTACCTCATACCTGTCCCAGGTGAAGCGGTGGATGCTATCCTTGCTGATGATTACCCGGAGCAAGAACACTTGTGGAGCACAACCCCTGAGTGGTTTTCCCCGGTGGTTGATCAAGTCATGGAAGAGGTTGGAATTGTGAGCGGGGATTTGGACATTGGAAATTTTTGGGGTTCTTTTGATGTTGTATTAGCAAGATTGAAAGATTTGTCTTGGAGTAACACTCCCTTTGCCCG